GCAGTACAGTGGTATCTAGCCGAGCCATACTACTGGCTGTTTATGATAAACATACAGCCTTATTAAGTTATACCTATATACTTGTCACTGTCTTTATGTGTAAATATCCTTGTCTACCTGAGCGAAACAATTACAGTCCAAATGAAAAACAGGAAATTCCTGCTCAATTTTCGAAGGGTCAGGTTTCAGTCGATGAGTTTATTTGAAATTCATCCCTGTATACCTGACGTTGTGTGTCACCTGCGATGTGGCTCGATATTTACCTGGTCCAGGAGACTGCATGAGGGGTTGTGGAGACGGACGGAAATGTTTCACGCCTGTCTGACTTCACATTGCTATACATTCAAATTCTCCTTTGAGTCAAAGTGAAAATATTAGAGGTTTAACACATTCACTTTCATGACATGGACGGCATATAGTCTACACAGCAACCTGGAGACTGCCATCACTTAATGGTGTAGGTATCCATGGCTATATATTTACATACATACATATCATTCTGTTACTATGTAGCCAAATTTGTCGTTGGTAATACCCTGTTGAGAAGAAAACTTGTTAGTGGCAAAGGTGCCCTAGGTATTCTACACCTTAACCCAAGATTTCCATATTTTTGTTATGGCTCTTTATCCGACATATTTTTACCCCTTCATAGATCCAGATATTGGTAGGAGTTTTTTTCCAAATTGGAAAATCAGATGTCTTTTATGTGGCTTCTGTTCCTTAAGTCCCATAACCAAGAATACACTACTACCCATGCACTTTCAGCTTATCTGCGCCCCCACCCCTCCCACCAACCCAAAACAATGATAATAAAATAAAAGATCATTGAAAGGCAAAGGGGGGGGGGGGGGGGTAATTTCTCTAAAGAATTCAGTTGCATTTGTAATATGCTAAAGAAAAGCTTTAAAAAAAAAACACACAAAATAACAATAATTAAGTTCTTTATCAAGGCTTTCGATGAAGACTTGTAAAACAAGTAGAGATCCAAAATGTATTCCTTTCCTATAAAGTTTGCCACAACTGAATTATTTAGTACTGACCAAACCATGATCAGACTTAACATGATAAAGTAAAGTCTTGACTAACCAACGGTGGTCGACCTACATTCCTTGTAAAAGAAATCTGGCCGGATTAAAAACAGCTACTGGCAGGTATATCTTTTCATTCATTGTCCGAAAAATAACTCCCCTCTGGTCAGGCGGAACATTCAATGGAATTCACTGTTTTGTGTTTTCATTCTATGTTGACCAACACTAGCTATTTACCATGTAGGCTTAATCATGTGTTAATTTTAAAACAGCTGAAGGGATACTGATACTATTATTGAAAGCTGAAAAAATCCTTATTTCATACATTAACTGACATCTGAAGAGACCACAGATAACTTGATTGACAGCTGAAGAGATCCCCATTTGGTACCGTATACATATTTATGTATCGTAAAATAAGCCCATGGTCCAGCACATAAGTAGAGGGAAGGGGGGACTTAATACTGAACAATGAAATAACATTTGTTGGTGTTTCTACGGACATGCTATATATGTGGATGCATGGGCTTATTACCAGGCATGGGCTTATTGCTGGACAAATTCGGTAGTTTTAATGAGAGTATAGTATAGAGTAATTGTTTTGTACTTTTATCGACAGTTGAAGAAATCATTGATAGTTTTATTGACAGCTGCATCAAGGTAACACTTGTAGTATTTAACTCATTCACCCCTAAAGACAGATTTGAACTCTTCCAATTCATAGGTTGGACTAGTTCATTATGAAATTTCAGAGGTGAATGAGTTAAATGACATCACTGTTAGTTGTGAGATTCTTCCGAAAAATTACCATTTGAAAATAATATATGAAAACTGCCATTTAAAGAAAAAATGAAAATTGAACTATCTGACTTACTGAAAATTATGTCAAAATGAAAGAGTGATACGCCATACAAGTTGGGTATATATTGTTTTATACATATGCAAGCTCAGAGGCAATAACATGATACAAACATGGACATGAAATAGATTTGTAGACAGAGCCACGTTTTATCATACAGATTTGCCTACAGGATTTATAAGTAAAAGCTACACAAGATAATATGTCCTTATCGTAATGAGATCAGATACATTTTACATTAAGTCTTGTTAGCTCAACAATTCCTAAGATAAAAAGCTCACATATGTTTCAAAATGTACAACTGACTTCGTTTTTTCATCATTTTGAATTTTGAAATTCAACATTCGAAAATATTGGTTAAAAACGTTTATCGGAAATTGTCGTTAAGATCATCGAACTTTGAAACATAGGACTTGGATGAACCAAACAACCCTCATGGACCTTGTAGTATTTAAGCTGCAGATTGTCAGGCATCAGCGTGAAGTGTTAGAGGGCCACACCCTACAGCATGATGCATAACAGTCACTTTGTCAACAACTTTTTATAAAAATGTCCAAAAATCACAGTTATACATTAAAATTAATACACATATATATACCAGTGTCACCAAAAGATGGGTGGGCTTGACATGTTTAAGTTTGTCGGCACAAAAAAATAGAATTTGGTCACATTTACTCAATATTATTTTTACAAATTATATTATGTATACAAATGAATAGGAATAGTGGAAAGATATATTTTGCATGCTAGAGTTATGGTAATGGTTACAGAAATGAAATGAATTTGTTCACATCTATTCAACATTTTGTTAAAATTTTGCAATCATACATTGTACACCATTACTTGCAGCAAAGCATTAAGATTTCCAGAAACAATACAAAGCTTTCATACAATGACACCTTAATTAGATTGTTTTATGATCCCGCATACCATTAGAGTTAATACCATGAATACTAGTTAACTCCACACATGTACACATGTATTTAGATACATGTATTTAGTATACAGCAAACTTCTATTATCTAGCTAATTTTGGAACACGTTAAAGGGACACTAAATTAATTGACAGATTTTTATCATAACGTAATGACGTAATGTAATAGAATAGTTACATGTATACACATTTAGAAAATGGCACAGTACACATGCCACGATCACTAAAGCTGGTAGATGCCACTTGAGAACAAACTGGCTTATTGAATATTCCTCTTCAAATAAACAGTCTACTGAAGACCAAGCTATGAAGAGGTGAAAAGCTTACACATGATGCCACTGTTTTTCTTTTATTATCGTACTTATACATGAAGACTTTTGTTCAATTACTCTTTTATAGAATGTTTTTAGACTTCAGAAGAAGTAGCTATTTCAGTGAAATCATTAGCATGGACTATCTCAGGGTGTCATTTCTGATGTGTGGCAATGATCAAGGCCAACATTTATTACATTTCTTATGACTGGTTGTTCATATTACCTGAAGACAACTGTAAAATCAAAACAACTTAAGTGAAAGCTTCTCTGATTGACTACAGATCCAACTGCTCTTCTTTTATTTATTTAAATATAACACTAAAGACATTAGACAATCAATACTTTCACAAAGGTCTCCACTGATTAAACAATTATCTATGCATTTATATTAAGTTCCTGCTTAAAGGCCTGCAAGACACAAGTTGCCACAACACCAGGAAGCAACCCTGCACCTTCAAACAGCACAGCTGTCCAATCCTCTGAACCTCACAGCCGCCCAAGGCTGGCATGACCATGAATTTTAGGGAAAGAGCAGAAGCAGTGGGTTGTACATTATAAGAACAGTGTGGGTTGTACCATGAACACATTGTGGATTGTATCATGAACACATGTTGGGTTGTACCATAAACACATTGTGGGTTGTATCATGAACACATTGTGGGTTGTACCATGAACACATTGTGGGTTGTATCATGAACACATTGTGGGTTGTACCATGAACATATTGTGGGTTGTACCATATAAGAACATTGTGGGTTGTACCATGAACACATTGTGGATTGTATCATGAACACATTGTGGGTTGTACCATAAACACATTGTGGGTTGTACCATATAAGAACATTTTGGGTTGTACCATATAAGAATAGTGTGGGTTGTACAATGAACACATTTTGGGTTGTACCATGAACACATTGTGGTTTGTTCCATGACCATATTGTGGGTTGTACCATGAACACATTGTGGATTGTATCATGAACACATTGTGGGTTGTACTAATAACACATTGTGGATTAAATGTACAATGAACACATTGTGGATTGTACCACAAACACATGGTGAGTTGTACCATATAAGAACAGTGTGGGTTGCACCATGAAAAACATGGTGGATTGTACTAATAACACATTGAGGATTAAACGTACCATGAACACATTGTGGATTGTACCACGAACACATTGTGGGTTGTACCATGAGCACATTGTGGGGTACTATACCATGGATTAGAATTAAATGAACGTACACATGTGGTACATTGTAGGAGGTATACAGACTCTATCAACAACTGACTCCGCCTTCCATCAGCGTCTTTGATCATAAACTTCCTCTCACTGATGTTAGAGTATCAAATTACAAATAATAAATACACTAGTGAAAAAGGCATCCGATAAAGACTGGTATGATGTTACGAAGTGGAGAGGTGACAAACAACCTCCTGACAGTTTCTTACCTGAGTAATTCCTATACATCTTCCAGAAAAACCTAAATAACAGCTGTCTGTACAGTAACCTTCAATTTTGAATGCCAGTGTAAAACATTATAATGCTGGAAAGATTTATTGTGCATTAAAACTTCTAATGTACAAAAAAACATGTGGAGAATATGAAAAAAAAACAATTAGTGCATTCATTTCCTCAAATCTTGTCAGACTTAAAAAAAATATATAGACATATGTAAGTTAAACAAGAAGTTTATTTCAAGATGACTGGATGGTCACAGTTGAAAGTTTAAATTTGATACAAGTCAATGAAGATTTCATTTATGTCTCTTCATACAAACAAGTGCTTCAGATTTTAGAACTAATATTTTTACCTGTAAATAGACATATAAAGTTATACACCTGTGTTTCATAGGTATAATCTTACCTGTTAATTAGGTAATTGTATGGCCAAGGTACTATGCACAGGTGTATACCATCCCGATACCTGAAGGCGTTTCCCCTTCAATATGCTGATCCGAGGCTTTAGAAGCCGTGTTCGAGTTTCATACCCGTTAATAATCCTAGGGTCCGAAATCTCACCTGAACAGGTACACACACTCCAATCAAACACACCTATCTATCCAGGTACTTCACCCGCGCACACACCTATAGCTATCTGTCTGATTATCCAAGCACCTTGTTGTGTGATTCACAGGTAGAAATGGTCCAAAGTCAGAGTACGAATGATCAGTGAGGACAACAAAAGCATGGGGCACATAAACAGCTTGCTTTATGTGTGCTATTTAGCCAGTGCTTGTTAGTCGGTCACGGTCGGAAGAGTCTATTATCCAAACTCACTTCCATTCACTTTGACAAAGTGCTAGGTCCTGGGTTAGGTTTGTTTGAAAATCTTCAGATATGTATACCTATGTATATACCTGTATGATGTAGATGTGTAGATGTGTGCTTACCTTCGGATAAGTAATGCCTGTATATCAGGCTATAGGCCGCTAATGATAGAACATTGATTTTATAATCCATGTCTGGAAATCCTAAGATTATCACATACTGACTTTGTCTGCAAGCATTACCATTCTAAGTTGCCTGTAAATAATACTTACATAAGTCAACTAAGATGAAAATTCACTCTTACTTTCAGAGTGTGATTTCTATTAAGGTGGGAAAACACCTGTATATATTTGATTTACCTGTATTTCTTCATTCAGGTACTCACCTGAATTATTTAATCACAAATAGTTCTCACCTGAGCATGAACAGTACATTATACCTGTCTTTACATACACAAGTAATGCCTAATTATGTCATTATCAGAGTAATTGCCATGGTGACCTATATATAAATCAGAATCAAAACAATATCGTTAGTATCACAGACATGTAAAAAGGTATTAATCTGTCAAATGTTGGGTAATTAGCAGGTAAATGTTGCTACCTGCAGACAGATCACTTCATTGTATTTTAAGCAAAATTGACATGTGACACTTTAATAAAATAATTTGTATTGTATTGTGTGTTGTATTAAAAGGTGCTAAAATTAGGCACAGAACAGGTATTAACTTTATCCGAAAAAATCCTGGGAAATCCCACCTAATTCAAGCGTCTACTTTTATAAATACTTATGTATGTTTTTATATATTTGTTGTCAAACATATAAATGAAGTCACCCTAGGGCTATAATGACATCCATCGATCATCACAAATAGAGTCTATTATATACTTCAGGACAAGGCATGCTAGCTCAATACTTGCATAAAACCCCAAGGGAAATGAGGAAATCCATTGAAACTGATCTATAGAATAATATCACATGGAATGTACATTATTTTGTATTCAGAAATGACCATACAGGTACAACAAAAGCATAGACAGGTGAAATCACATGACCTAGATCCTTTTTTTTATCGTTGGTACTCAGATTTTGGCTCAAGTGTCGTGTCTTTATTTTACAAGTCAAAATTAATCACTATTAAATCTCAATTTTCTATATGTTATACTCCACAGAAACAAAAATGGCTTTAACTCAAAACATCCCTGAAGTCACATTTGAACTCTTCCAATTCAGAGGCTGGAACAGTCTGTAATGAAATTTCAGGGGTGAATGAGTTAATGACAATAGGATGCTAAAATCTATGAAGTGTTAGTTTCATATTGTTTAGATATTGTTGGTGTGTATAAGCCTGATGTTGGTAATAGATTGCTAATTACGGAATATGACTCATTTTAAAGGTACATAATACACACCTGAATAATTCATCAAAATATCATTCAAGCATAAAAACACTTATCAATAGCTATATTAGCTAGGACTTAGTAAAATCGATAAAGGTGTGTACATCATAACAATTAAAAAAATGTTAAAACATCCATTATAATTGCTCAAGAGTATCAAGTAATTAACTTCACTGTAGAGTTACTTTACAACTTCCGACAATTCGCTTTCATTCAAAAATGATTGATAGGACATTTACTGTGAATGTTAAAATCAAAGGAAAGTGACATTTATAAAGTTCACTGTTCATTTTCTTATAACAATTTTTGATCTTGTAATCGATAGAAAAAAAAGTTTGATATTCTGTCACTATACATTTACACACCATAGCTGTTGTAGTTTCTATTCATTATAAGCCTCTTAAGGTTGGAATAGTTCATTCTGACACTTCAGGGGTGAATGAGTTAATTAGAATTACATGTAATCTACATTTTACTTTTATTGAGAGACAGAAAAGAAAAAGTATTCAGTGTCAGAAAGGAAAGGTAAAGCAGAGAGGAAAGCTAGGGCACAGGTTTAGAGAAAGTAAATAGGATCAGCACAATGATGCGAAGTCAGTACTTATAGGTCGATTCTGTCAAGTATGATGCAATAGCAATAACTCAGCTAAGGAAGTGTTGTCAGATAACTGTCTAACTCGGTAACTGAGTTTGAATTTTAGAGACCTATGGACATGCTTAACCCTTTCACCCCTATGTTAATTTGGTAGACTCTACAATGCATTGATCTGGATGAGTCCATTATGGTCTACGGTGTCGGTGTGGTTAAAGGGTTAAGGATCCCTGTCCCACTGCACTGTGTTTTTACTTGTAGGCGGTAACCTCGCCTTAGCTTCTGTTTGGATATACATGCATGTAACTGTAGTACAGTTGGCCAATTAACTCATTAACCCCTGAAGACACACCTGAACTCTTCCAATTCAAAAGTTGGAATAGTTCATTATGAAACTTCAAGTGTGAATGAGTTAAGACACTTTCGTTTACACTCAGAACACTTTTGTTGATTATGTTTTGTATTATTTAATCTTTTTATTGTTTCCTATAAAAGCCTTCCAGGGTATTGTTTTCTTTTCAGAAATGTTTTATCAAAGCTTTAGTCTAATTGGATATAACAGTTTCCAATATTTATCTACAGCCAAAAACTTTCAAGGTCATTACCTTTCTAAAAAAAATCTTTGAAATTCTTTTATAATTCTACCTCATTTTATATATTGCAAAACTCAATCAAGCTGGATATATGTCAGATTTTTTTTGCTGGGCAAATGGTGATTATATATATTTTGTTTTTCAATAAATTTTTGTTACAGAATTTATTTCATTTTATTTTTCTTAAATATTTTTATAGAAAATCCTTAAAAGAGATGTTGGAGAAATATTGCAGTCTTTGTTTGACATACAATTTGTGACTCTATAACTAGGGGTTTGTTTGACAGACAATTTGTGACTCTATAACTAGGGGTTTGTCTGAGTATGATAACTAATATACATTTTGCACAATCAAGATGTCCAAACTAAGTTACCAATTCCACATTTGTTTCTGGTCTTATATATTTCAGTGGGTGAAGCTAATTAAATGCTGGGCAATTTTTTCAAGGATAAGTGCTTATTCTACCTGAGAGTCAATGAACACAGACCTTAAGACTGTCTGAATTTACGGTATATATTTCAAGTGTCGCATCAACAACTTACTATCTCACCCCTATCATCTGTCTACCTGTATCGTCCTCTGGATCATCCAGTGCGATTTCTTAGTTGCTTTACGTTAGCCAGTCAGATCATGCGTTACTTATTCCTGATTGGTAAAGAAAGGGTCAGAGTCCTATTATGGGCTGCGCATGCTATGGCGCTGATCTGGGAGTGTCAGACGGATGCGAACCATTATCAAACTTCTTTAAAAATCTGTTTGTTTCTACAATGCAGAATTCTTTTGGATGAAGAAAATTGTATATAACAAATGGCAATATACCTACAATTCAGGGGGATTTACATCTATGAAGTGTCTCAATCACACAGACATGGATTTAAATGGGTTGTTCAATCTTCCAATATGTGTCAAAGATAAGAAATTTGTCGAGAGTCAATAAGTCAAATGTATGTGTCATGGTATATGTGCATAAGGATACATCATCAATACCATGACCCTGACCTTGTGAATTTGCAATGTTTCGACTTTATATGTAGCGTAACTGGACTGGATTGATTGTCAATGATCAATTTGGAGTGATTGTCTAGAGTTTTGTGGTCCTGGGTTCGAATCCTGCTCTGGCTGTGCATTTTTCATCTCCAGTTACAATTGTGCCTGTGACCAACCCTTATTTCAAGTATTTTGTGTATGCTGTGCAAGCGGAATATAAAAACTTGATCAGTTGAAAATAATGTTGTTTTTGGAGCAAACTAGAAAAAGGAGGGAGGAATGTTGTGGAAATGGACTAGTAGATCAACCATTAGTGACCTAGGATAGTTCAATTAATTAGAGCACCTGTCTAAGAGTTTCAAGGTCCTTGGTTCAAATGCTGGTCTGGCAGCACTTTTCCCCCATCCTGTTACGTCTCAATATATATCAGAAGGTCATTTAACTCATTCCCCCCTGAAGACACATTTGAACTCATCCAATTCAATGGTTGGAATAATTCAATATGAAATTTCAGGGGTTAATGAGTCAATGGATAGGGAAGATATATAACAGTAACAGTTTGTACATGTACTTAAGATACAGATTCCTATGTGCACCTGTAGTGTACAAGTGTGTATGACCTGAAATTTCATAGCAATTTTCAATATACACAATACTCTGTCTGAACTCAGGTCACCTCTTGAGATCACTGGGAAAGGTACAAGTCCAATCTTGAAATGAACAAGTCTAGCTACTTTCAAGACCCCCTAAGCGCAGATGTCCTTAATGTTGGTTTGGGAAAAATAATCCACATTGTACAGTGTCTGGGTTAGACAGAGTATACCGTAGTCTATAATTCAACATAAATTAGTGATAAAACATTTCGCGTTTTGAAAATTCCGTGGTAGTTGTTAGCAGTAAAGGCTGGTCAAAAGAGGCTTCAACCCCACAGAGTAACTGGGTGCTTATAAAGTTCGACTCTCTGCACAGCACATCTATGTAACTAATCATAGTTACCTGACCTGTTAGGGTCATCTTAAAGGTCAAATATAGACCATATATGACATAGCTGTGGTGCTCTGGTCTCCGACACACAGGTAATTCAAAGTGCAATTTAAAAAGGACAAGCCGAAGGTGATTCAAAAATTTCATTTGGCAATTAAGGCATATTAAATTATAAGAATTTTTCCGCTTTTTATTTTCTAATTTGGATTAAAATCATTTATCTTGGAAACACAAAACTCATTTTTCTGGTTCATACATTTATAAAGACTGGCCCCCGTCTCTAGAATATTGAATCATAAAGAAAAAAAAAATACTTAAAAAATTTTGATCACTTGCATGGATGTCTGATCCTAAGTTCTAAACTAGGGGGAGATAAGCTAGTAGCCAGTCTAAACATATATAAATATTCAGTATTCCTGTTTTATTTACTTGACATTAAAGTCATTTGGATATCAAACAATAGTTCCTGGACAATTCATACAGTTTTGCTGCATGCATCATATAATTTGTTGGAGAGAGTTACACTGTTTCCCGTTTCCATAAATTACTTACATTTGAATAAGTTTTCTGAAATTACATGACCACATGTACAATTAACTTAAGGTTAGACTTTATGCATGTTTCTTCAGAAAAGAAGCAGCTTAGATAGCCAATGTTCACTCTTGCTGAAGGGATGCAATTCTTATAATGGATTTCTCCCCATTATGCTGATACATCTCTGTACAGCTGGGTAGACAAGAGCAATGCAGACAAGTATATTGCTCA